CATGACTAACAGTGATTAAAATATTTTAATTCAAATTTTGTTTAATATCGCGCGGAACGTGTGCATGCGTCAAGGACTATACATCTGTTTCCGCGTTCCACACGGTTCACTTAATTGTATTACAACAAACAATATTAAAAAAATACATTGTTTCATTTGATTTCGCTTGGTAACAAGCCATGGTTAAAAAAAATTAAATGCTCAGATGAAAATTGCGTCATAACTATTGGTGTTCAACCTATACGTTTTGAGCGACCCATTCCGTTTGCAAGCAAAACAGTGATGATTACAGAAAACTAGGGTTTCCATCAATAAAAATGTTAATTCAATGTTTGATGATTTGAACCAAAATGGACAGAGATGAAAATGTGCCAAAAATTAACAAAAATATAACAACAAGCCCCCACTATGGATGTCCCCATTTTCGTGAGCAATACCCAGAACGTGCGAATATAGAGTTTCGTTGGTAGTTTTTTTTTTCTATACACATAAACACATAAATTACTCGAGTCCTCTTGCAACAACTAGCAAAGATCTGTGAGGCATTCGAAAAACCCCTACACAACATTAACCTTCAAACCCGTGCCAGCATATTGAACCCGATACAAAATGGGTCATCTCTTCGCCATAGTGAACCATTTTCATTTTCTTCCAAGTCGATTCTGGGACTCATTCATTAGACTTCGATTTGCCTTGTTAAAGCCCCGATTTGGGCCCACTTTATATTCCAACGTGAAGATCATATAGACTAGATAAATAGTACCTCTGATTCTCACAACGACCGATCCGAACAAGGTGAATGAATCTATTTTGTTATTTTGCCAGTATCGATGAGAGATGTAACGCGTTAATAATCGCTCCCCATTGTCAGCCAACCGCACTTCAGACATAGCTTCGAATAAATTTTTAAAACTGGTAATTTAATTACCGTTTCACAATCACCAACATTGGGTCGTAACGATGGAACTTGTCGATGGAAAAGTCTTCTGATCATAATGTTTTCTCGAACACTACAATCTTTCATAATACCTAAGCAAGAATATAGCTCATTTATTGAATCATTTCATGGAGTAAAATGTGCGATACAAATAAACATCGTTCCAGATTAAAGTCACTAATGTAAAATACGCGATATGTCTTTACTTGGTATATGGCCCATCGAAACTTGCTCATACCTGCTGAGTCCATATCACCTTTTATTTATCCTAATCGGACCTCACGTATGTGGTACAGGCCTGCAGAGTCACAAAATTTTTTGACAGTCATGAAAACATTAAACCTACTTGAAGAAAAAGTTCACAATAGGTTACTTAAAAGCATCTCATTACTACTCACTGCCTAACTAGCGAATAGAGCTATTCGAAATGTACGAATATCCCAAATCGAACGCGCAGGTATTGGTAACATTTCCTGGTGCACCAAGCCGCTTTAGGCCAATGCATCCCAAACAAGGCGTTTTGGTCATTAGGAAACAAAATAATTTTTTTAATTCGTTAAGTATGGATCGTGTGTATATACTATGATTATTTATCAAAGCTATTTCACCGCCGGTCCCTTCACTCGACCTACCGTAGCTAAATTACAGAACGCTCAGCACATGGGTTCCACAGTTGGAATCGATTGCTTAGTCTCAAAGCTGCCCTATTCACCAGACCCAGAGTAGCCTTCGGTCCGCTTGCGAAAATTTGGCACGGTCAGGGAGCAGGCGGCGTTCAAGGAGATCCTAGAAAGGTGATTACGGTTTAAGGCTAGCACTGTACTTAAACTAGATGGGGTCCTAAGCTACTAGTTCTAAGTTCCGGGAAGTTTGTATACGCCCCAGTACCGCGTTGTGAGCACGGCTGCGCGAGACCAATATCAGATGTCTCTCCGCAAGCTTAGAAGATCACTCCCACAGAATAAAATATTGAGGGCGTAAGACAATTCACGAGGGTGGCACCAATAAATCCCCTTTTTTGTTCCTTCGATAATGTCAGATCTACTAAGGCTGGCACGGGGCTAACCGTAAAGCACCACAGTGGTTTTACGAAGCTTCTCAGGGGCCAGTGCGTTTATCCCCGGCCAGTGTATGCCGCTCGGTCTCGCCAACGCACCCTTGACGTTCCAGAGGCTGATGGGTCCTTGGGTTTGGTTGGGGATGGGTTGGATGAATTTCTTGGGATTCTAAAAAGATGGCTCTCGTTTATGTCGAAGATGTCTACTCATCTTGCTGGTAGTACAGAGCAGCATCTTCCGAGCTCGGCGAAGTTCGGCGGGCACAGAGAAAAGACCCTTGTCTGAGCAAATTGGAGGGAGGGTCTTGCGTTCTAGCGTACATGCTTAGGGATTGCGCGGTTTAGCGGGCCAAGAGGTGTGGGACCAATGTGGCTTACCAGCGGCGTAACTGAGATCAACAATGACTTGATGCGCCACGCACTACTGGCGCTGAACTGTCCTGTCAAGAAGGTGCGGTTAGATTTTATAAGCTACCTGAAAGTACTAGGCAGTAAATTTTTTCGGTTTTAGTAGTGCCGTTGCAGGGCGGAAAGCGGTAGGTCGCGGAACAATGCCGAAGCACGCAGGAAGGTGCAGTTTGAACGGAAAAGTCTATCCCGCGCAAGTTCGAAACGCAAGATGAAAGAAGAAGAAAAGACAAATGAGCCACATCGGAATCTGAGTAGCAGCCGTTCATCTGTGGGCCATGTACTATTGTGAGCCGAGTGGCCCCACGTGGCGATGGGGTTGTCATGCCTCAATGCCGACAGCTGTCCGTAACAGCAAACTGTACACAGCAGATGTTGAGAAACATTTTTAGGTAGCACGACCGAATGTAATGATGCGTGCCGAAAACATCTTATATATAAAAGCATATATCTTTTAGGTAAGTGTTGTTTATATCTGCATGAGGGCGAATAAATTGCTAATTGCAAATTTAGTATATATAAATTAGCATTCGTTTTTTCCTTAGGCCCGACTTTTGCCCCTCGTGTGCCGTTAGCACGGTGTAAGTGCATTAAGGCTGTCTTTTCTAATAATCATAAGTCTGCGTGCAGCGAAAGCTCACGCAAACCTGCGAGCACGCGAGAAATGTTGGAGGGCTTCCTATCTAACCTAATACTACTGACTTTATAGAAATATCATTTGTAAAACACGATTGTAGCTAAGATAATAATGATAACCAGTAAATACGTAGAATACGAGCTTGGATATAGCGTGTTGCTTTGTAATCAGTAACCGATTTAATAGATTTAGTTATAAATCAATTAGGTGAGAAACTACTGATTTGCCCCAGACCTAAAGTGAACGAATAAATTTGGTCTCAAGACATTATTCGGATTACGCGTTTTATTCAATATAGCCCACATTATCCAGATTTAACATCTCGAAAAGTAGGTAGGGCAGGTTCTGCTACTAGACAGTCACTGTTTCGATCGCTGTATCTGAGCTGGCGGAGGTTGCATTTGTGCATCTACCTCTTTATCAACGAAGCGCTTGCTTCCCTCAAAACTCATAGACACTTTTCCACAGACGTGGTCGCTATCACGCACAACACCCATCCCAGTAGACACATCAACTTGAGGCCAGCGGCCTATGCAGAAATTATCAAAAGATACCTTGTATGCTAATGCACCAGCTTCAACGGCAAAGATATGAAGATGCGATACTTACAGCATAGTATTAGAGTTATTATTTAGGCTAAATACTAAATAATGATAAAAAAAAATACTAGGATTACATTATAAAGAAGCACTGAAAATGGCTAAACTTTCGGGTGACGGCAAGCAAAAATATATAGGAACGGGCTGTTTTAAACGATAAGGTATTCTTTTGAAAATACTTGAATTGCGTGTGCCTGAATCTGTGCACGCTTAAAATCAGCAACACGACATTTGACCGTGATGCCGACAGAAACGGTCCTAAGCCACTAATAAGCACGTAGATGATTACTTAGGTTACTGCATTACCCATCCCACATGTCCTAGCATCTTGGTCCTTTTTCCCAATCAACTGCATCAACCGCTCTAGCTGTTCTTTCATCTACTATTATCGTCTACACGTATGGATTGGTGTCTCATTGACATAGTTATGGGACCTCTGGGAAGTATTCCATCGTAGATGATCTATAAACATCATTCTCTTGACGACCCTTGAGCGTTCAGATCTGACTTAGCGTCGGTATATCCTCATCGAAGTTAGTGCATGAGATCAACTTAATTGATAGCTAGCACTATCCCGCTTTGTCAAGTAGAAAGCTATCTATTGATCCAACTAGATTCGTATGAATATTTAGCTAATATATCTTAAATAAAAAGCCTTATTAAACGCCTGTAAGTGTGAGCATATTAGTTAGAATACGTACATGCTTCAGAGGATATAAAATCGTTCTCGAGAGGTAGAAAGAAAGAGAAAATAGATCTAATTTAAGCAGTATAGCTTATATCACACACGGTGCACCTACTACAATATCTCGGCGGACCTTCTTACCCAAAGCGCTTTGATGGAATGATCAACTACAGTCGTTTAAAGATGTGAAGCTACACCATTTGATCATTTAAGATTCGCTGACTTTCGTGGAGATTTATAGAACAATCAATGAACGAAAGCTATGAACCATTTATCGCTTTTATATCGTGCATTCTATTTCATGGCCTTAGAATGAGGTCTTTGTTTGGCACAACGCGTACAAGACGATTGCACAAACTGAAATACTGTGCCGGAAATAATGAACCCATCTTCCTTATACGACCCCTATTGCTTCCGTAAATACAAAACTTAATACTCAGAAAAAATCCCAAATTATTTCGTAGAAAAAACTCGCATGGTAAATTGAATCTTGTATGCAAAAGACTTTGTGCCAGATCTCCTCCGTTCAATGATTTACAGCTTCGTAGAAAGCTAATTTCTAAAAGTTCATATATATATATATATGTCAAGTCAGAGCTATTCAAGTTCCTCTCAGTAATACTATAATAACTAACAGTGATACTTATTGAAAAAATAATCAAAGTTTTTTTTACAGACACAGTCAAGACCTTTATTTTTTTCGTTTGTTGCTTTGTTTTGTCTAGTTGGTTGTTACATAGAGTTGTTGTCACTGCTGCCTACTACATCGTTATCATTGATAATATTGTCATTATTTCATATATCAATATTATAATTATCGTATATGTTCATGCTGTTTGTTGATAACTGTTATAGTCATTTCATTCGTCACCCTTCTTTGTTATGTTTCCTGTTCTTTTACCCTTTTCGTCCGTCTGCCTGCTCATCCGTCCATAGGGCGTAGGTGTATATGAACGACTTTCGCACGACGTCGTTGTAATAATGACGTAATGATAGGCGTAAAACCCAAAGATAAACCTCCCACAGAGGCAGCTATAATAATATTATCACTATGTGACTTGCTTTCCTTTGCCATACTACATGGAGGCTGTTTAGCTCGTTTCTATGCTTCTTATCGTTGCCTTCTCCTCAGCGTCTCTCACCATCCCCACATCCCACTCTGCCCCTCCTAGGTCATCATTATGCACGTCGTCGTCGTCGTCGTCGTCGTCGTCGTCGCCGTCGTCGTCGTCGTCGTCGTCGCCGTCGCCGTCGTCGTCGCCGTCGCCGTCGTCGTCGCCGTCGTCGTCGTCGTCGCCGTCGTCGTCGTCGTCGTCGTCACCGCATGTCATTTTCCGGTCTCGGTCTCTTTGCCCATTATAGTGGCGCATTTATGATATATATATATATATATATATATATATATATATATATATATATATATATATATATGTATTTATATTTTATTTACTTACGGCGCGTGCTCATCGATAATTTATCTCATTATATACTCTCTTTTTAAATGGTTTAGTAGTAATTTATGCTTCTTGTGTGTGCGTTCGTGTATGTTTGTGTGTGTTTGTATGCACAATCTCCAGCTATAGTTCCTCTACCTTCGATTTCGATCGTATCTTATTAGTAATAGATAAACATAGCACGGTAATGTTCACTAATTTCTCCTGATTCCGTTTTCTGTCAGCTTTTCTCAGTCGCTTCGTATCGTATCACACGGCTTCTATTTGTTGATAATCTGATTCTAAACAAATATCGCAAATGGTTACTAGGTAATGCTGAAGATCGACTCCAGTCACAACTTCTGGTAGATGTATTAACTAAGGATTCGTGTAACCAACAAACAGTTTGTCCTATAAAACATAACATGGTCTCGTGTATGTAACGTACCTCTGATGATGTATCTTGCTTGACTCACGCCTACGGAAACACGAGAAACTAAACTGATCGACAATAGTAAACCAATATATGATTTCAACAGAAAAATGTCAGAGTATCTGCCCCAAAAAGCATATTCGATATATCCTTACTAAACCGTAATAATATGCCGATCCGGCAAATCTCAAACAAAATCATGTTAAGGTGTGTAATTACCAATTCTATGTCGTTCTATACCATACATCGCTTGAACAGCTAATAGAAGACATATATTGCGGAGTGTAAATCAAATATAGTATAGTTTCCGTGTATCTTTTCTAGTATAACAATTCACTAATGCTTTTCTGCATTATTTTGTGTCTGTTTCAAACAACGGACATACTACTAACAATGAATGCACGGCGTAACCCTTCATTTTCTCACGCTTTTTACCCCTAGCTACTTCGTGTCAAGTCCACTATGTAGCTTTATCTCTCGCTCTCTCTCTCTCTCTCTCTCTCTCTTTCTCTCTCTCTTGCGCGCTCTCTCTCTCTCGTTAGCTTTCGTTCTCCCTTTCTCTCTCTTTATATATATATATCTATATAAATATATATATATATATATATATAGATTCATGAACGGTTATCGGTCAGTGTCAAATTAAGAAGCTGTTTCAGTGGCCCATGTCTCCGGCCCTCAATCTTCCAAGTCAATGCTTATATCGTGTGGTCACCGGTGAGCCTACCCCAATCAGGGTTAGAAATCTGGAACGAGGCTGCTACTGTATTAAGCGTTGTAGTCTTTATATTGACTGATACGATCATATAATTAACTGCTGTTAACCGAACTCCCCTTGGCCGAGCTGTTACATAGACGGGGGCAAATTTTAAGCGAAGGCAATCCTAGAACTAATATCTTTTCACATGCTAACATTAACGGAGTAATGTTTCCCAGCACCATTGTGATTTTTCTACTTTGTAGCACTTATCTATGACGCCAAAAGATGACTATTCGTAATGTTTCTGTCCATTGTTAATCAGTAGTCACTCATCAACCATCGTCATTCCCGTTGACAATGTTCCATGTAATTTCGTTCATTCATCTCCTCTCCGTTCCAGTTCCTCCTGTATGATGTAGACAATACGTAGATTATATATATATATATATATCGGTCGATATACTTATTGCCAGGGGGTAGAGGATGATTATCACGAACTAGTTCGGGCCTTCTTCCGCTTGGTTGTCGTTTGAGCGGGCTGCTGCTCCTGCATGTCGTGGTGCAGCAAACTACTGTGCTTCAGTCGAAGGTGTCGAAGGATGTCCGTCCTTTGGAGGGCTCGGTAAGGACAATGTGGGCATGGGAATGGCCGTTCCTTGTGGTGCACCATCGTCATATGACGACGCACCGAATATGCGCCTCCAGCACCGAACCTAAGTAACAGAACGAATGAAACGCACACAAATAGACAAATATTAACATGCGCAAATAAACAAATATAAACAAAAACTGATTTATTGAGAGGTAGGTCATGAGCTAGGAAATGATGTATATGAATGTATCTAATGTATATGAAAATACGATAATGTATATGCAAATATATGCATCCGCTAATGTATATGAAAATACGATATATACGTAACTTACTTAGTTTAATTAGATAAGTTACAGAATGTGATGCAAATAAAATAATCACCAGTAACCTCAGTCACTTCTTATTCAACGAGACCTACCGCTTTAAACAGATGGGGCAAGTGTGCTTGTCCAGAATATGGCCAGTTGTTCCCAGCTGTTCCATTGATAGGCCGTCGCCCTCGACAACCGCTTCACCAACAACAATCGCCTCGGCCTCCTCAACGATACCGCCATCGGCCTCCTCGACGACGATACTTCCACCGTCGGCTGGTTCTTCCTCGATCACTTCGACTTCTTCGATCTGAGCGATCTGCTCCATCTGCTCAAGCGGCAGTAGTGCCTCAGAGCCAAGCCTCGCTGAACCAATGGCAGACGTTTCGAAAGTGGATACTTCAAACGAAGATGTTACTGGCGGGTCTTCAGCAACCGGTAGCCGAACTCGGGTATTATTGTGACTTTGACTGTGGCTGCTAACAATAGTGGTTGTAGCTGTAACTGTCGCAGCTGCGTTGACCGTCGTAGTTCCGTGCTCCTCGATAACACGGGCTTCCGCTGTGAAGAACAGTATTTTCTAAGTCACTGCATTTCGATTTGTGCCTGGGGTCGGTTTGACCTTTGGGAGAAAGATTGTCGGTGTATGATGGAGAGTTCGTTTTGTGGTCGTATGCGCGTCCGCGCATATCCCTTCTATGTCGGCTATTCATCAGTGTATGTAGTATAAAAGTCTAATAGCTAAGCTGCTCTCTTTGTCCTCCTCTATCCTCAATATACATGTATGTAGAGATGGTAATTATATCTCGTATGTATAAAAGCAATTTTGACTTATTTACGCTCTAATGTTAACCTTGCAGCTATATGTGGCGTTTCGAGATATGGCCTTCTTCATAAAACGGACTGCGTTTGACGAGAGGTTGTTATTCTCGTCAAGCACGGTTTAGAGTATTTTAAACAAATGATGCCTCGTGATCAATTATCTTTAACGCTTAATAAACCTATTTATTCGACAAGTTATAATAGGTGCATTTGTTCTCAGTAGATGGCTTCCGTAGTCCTGGCAGGGCACGGGGCCTCTCCTCCTACAGCTCCAGTAGCGAATATCTTGCTAACAGCCCTTGACATTTGGTAAGCACCAAAGCGCCAAATTGGTTACGACAAACTTCTGGAAGTAAACAGCTCCATTAGTTTATGTAGAAGACCGCTGAACTTAGCCTCATTTTTTGAGTGTATTTTATAATAGTTCAAATGCTGTTGTCAGTCCGCCATTTGCAGCCATACCCATAATAGGATTACGGTTAAAAACTGTTTACTCGCCGGAAGAAGACCAATTCACTAGCCGTCGATCCACTAATTCTGGCCAGCACTGCCTCAGCGTTAGCTGCAAACAAAACATTTCATAAACATTAAACTTTTGCTGATCGGCATATTAGCTATGCAACAACTTATTGACAAAGGAGTAACTTGCAGTGACCCCCCATATTCAGTCGCTCCTGTCCGCTTTCATTAGAGATAAATACTTAACACGGTTTAATATACGGCATCCTACGTAAAAACGACGACGTCGCGTTTCCCTCTTGGACTGAACAACCGGCAAAACGCGAATTCCGCACAGCCGTCTTTTGTAATCCTTTTGTTTCGCTTGTTCTCTTACTCACAGCTGAATGTGATTTGTTAAATTGACCACTAAAGGTGGCCCAGTGGTAACGCCGTTACGTGTTAGTCTGGCAAGTCGAACTTGAATTTGGGAGTAACCTAAAATTTTGGAAGTTATAATATTCGTAGCTTAAGTTATATAAGGAAATATATGGTCGATGGCAGGATATGCATGCAGCCTTGTGCACCCTTGATAGAAAACAATCTGTAACAACAAATACATTAGCATTTGCTACTCTATAATCTTTTATGCTGCTATTATGCCCTTTAAATATTTATGACAGTCGGATTTTATTCATTGTTTGGCCAACTACGGCTCATCGTGCATACAGAAGTTCACTAAACAGTTCAGTGGTCTTTTTTTGTTCCGTAATATTAATCAGCTGATGTTTAGTCAAAAAAACAGCGTCGTCTACATCTAAAGAAGTTACAAGAGCGACGCAGCGTGAGCAGCCATGATATCGCTTAAAGAAACTTAAAACAAACTACAGCCCAACCGTTCTAAATCGTCTGAAGAAAGCTGACGACGAGATAATCTCGATGTTCGGGTATTAGGCGAATTGACACGGAATAGTTCACTCACTCGCTCGTATTTCTATCTGTGAAAGCTAATCAAACCCAGCCATTTCCGTAGCTATGGTTTACGCCTGCTTGAAGCTGGACCATATACGACAGTGATGCAGAAATTAAAACCTGAAGAACCCAGACCGATAGTAGATTGCTCTATACGTTAATGGTAAAACGCTGGACCAGAATCGCGTATCACAGGCTGCCGCTGCCGCTGCCGCTGCTGCTGCTGCTGCCACCGCTGCTTGGCAAAATCGGGCCACCGCTGTCCACAACTAACAAGATCAGAAATGCCACTGAAAAAAATCTAACGGAACTAGTGAATAGAAAAGGCGTCATTCTCTACTATGACAATGCATCGTTACCTACGTGGCAAACATCTTAAGGGCTTAAATTGAAAATTTCAGTACATTGGCCGTATCGCTCGGACTTTACCCTCTCACACTATAATTTCTTTCGCTTTCTGCAAAACTCTTTTAATGATCTTAACTTAGCTTCATGAATAGCACCAAGAAAATATTTGGCTAATTTTCGCCTAAAAATTTCAATAGATTTTCTGTGACCCAATATCTTACATTATCGACCAGAACTTTCCGAACCGTTGTCCGTAATACGTAATCCCCAGCTGGCCGTTAAGAAAAAGCTCACTGACTTCTTTTAAATATTCGCGCCCGGATTTGATAAGAATGTACAATATGACATGAAACTTCATTCGTCGTCCCTTGAACTGGCAACTGCTCCTGTAGAAATCATAGTATCGAAATTTTCGATATACTTCAGCGGCGTAGCCGGTAACACAAGGTCAAGCTCTAGTTGTTGACAGGCCCTTTCCCGACAGGTAATTCGAGTAGACGTTGCTCGCCATCACTAGCTCCACCAGAGCAGGGTTTCACACGATCAGAATCAGGCTTAGCGGCCTGGTGCTATATCCTGGCGAATGTAATGAGATCGCATTTAGAGGTGGTGCAGCGTGTGCAGGGGAGACGAGAAAACACTGTTCCTGCGTACTCGATAGGATACGCCGCATCAACTATGCCCTCTGTCGGTTTCGATGCACTCGCGTGGCGCACCGAGACGGGCAGCGTCAGACGTTTCGGACAAGCAGCGCGAGGTATCGCGAGCCATACTTATACCAAAGGAACTTTAATTATTAAACTGTGAGTGTGTTAAGTGGATACGTTATATTACACTAGTTGAGTTTTAAAGAAAATCATTCAGCCCGGGCCGTTCATGGGCAGTTTGTATGAGCAAATATTTGGCACCGATCTTGTACAGGTCACCTTATGAAATAGTCTGTCGCAGTACGGACAAGGCCGCCCGATAGCTGTTTGTCAAACGGCTGACGGTATAACGGTCGCTGGTGCGACACTCCCATCGAAGAGGTCCTGATTCGGAAAAGCGGACCGGCCAGTAATTCAAACACGTAATCAATGAGTACGCGAACAATCGCATATTGTATTACGTATTCGGATCGATCACAATGACCGATTTCGAAATAGTAACTAAGACAATTTATTTGTTTAGACGTACAGAGAACAGACCGAAAATCAGAGTACGACTCATAGATTTCTCGTGGACACGTTTTATCCGTCACAAAATTTTAAAAAATTAAGCCTACCTTGCTAACTTAAGGATTCTGTGTGCAAGAACAGTTGGTGGTTTTGATGTACGAACGTCGTTGCGAAAACAGAGAATATATTTATTATATCCACGACATTTAGGTAATCATCAATAAACTTCACTGACTACGTTAAATGTTATACACAGAAATCTTATTCTTGACAACTCTGGCCTCGAAGCATGACGTTGTGAAGGTCATCTGAAAGGATATATAATCAGTAAGTAGGTATAATGTTTGTACGTATAGCTCCAGTTCGCCATAGAAATCAATAATATCAATCAAATTATAGATGACTAATCGAGAACGACAACACCTGTGTACAAATATAACAATGGCTTCCACCAGTAGAACCATTGTATTGCTTTATTGTTTCCCATATTTTCTCCCGGTTGCCTTCTACGTGCTATTCTCCTTTCCTGTTGGCTTTTTACAGTTTGTTACTTGCCTATAACTATCTAATTATCTATATTGCTATGTACAAGACATTTCATGGTAAAGTACAGATTTTATATATATATATATATATATATATATATATATATATATATATATATTGCACAGCTAGGCCCCATAACGACGATAACTTAGCCACGTCGTCTGCTATCGGACGACTGGGGCTTTGCAGTTACGTCCACCTGATGCTAGTCCTGACCGCAGCCGCATTGGTGGCGCCGCGGACGTGTTTCTGTGGATCAGTCCGGATGCGGATCGTTTGCCAGCTCGCACTGCTGTCACTGTAGAATCTCATTTCAATTTTACCAACTCTCGCAAGAAAAACGGTAACTGTTTACCGGTCTAATGGCCTCAAGAGCTCGTAACTGAGTCTACAGCGAGCTAGATTTAATGTCGATCCGATCTGAAAGGCACAACTATCCTGTTCTGATCTGTTGTCTTTATAGAGGACTATTCATAAATGATGTTTGCGCGCATAGTGGAAAATGAAAAACATGGCAATTTTTTATAAACTCGTTGCAGGATATCTTCCACACGTTGAACAGAGATAAATGTTATTACAGGTCGCTGTAATATGTATTAGTAATAATAAAAATTACGAAAGAAACGAATTTGTATATTTTGGTCAAACATTTAAATAAAAAGTAATTTTACTCATTTAAATAAAATGATTTTAAATTTAAATAAAAAAAGAAAAAATATACAACTTCATTATTATTTTTAGTAGTAGTAGTAGTATTATCGAAAATAGATGACATACTAATCTATACAATATGTTCTTACATAAACAATGATGTCAACGCTCTGGGGATGTGCATCCAGGTAACTGGACTGCCGTACGAACCGAAGGTTCATTTTTCATTGATTTTTCGTTTTGCTTGTATCACTATTAATACGTTATTGAGCTGACGGCAACAATAATCGTCTGTAAACTCAGACCGCGTCCCAGATTTAACTGACGTTCGTGGTCTATACTTTTGCAAAGTTTGTCAACTTATCATTAGAGTGACCTTCGAAGTTAAATCTAACAGAGAAAGAATCGCCCCCTTTCGCAACGCAATAGCTTCATTTTGGGTATGAAAAAGCGGCTTGTGCGAGTGGGGTAAAAAAAACTGTCCGCTAGAAAAAAACGTTGTGTTCAAATCCTCTTTGCGTTATTATTTCAGAAAGAGATAATCCCACAATGGGACGCAGGGCTCATCGACAAATATATATATATATGTATATATAATGCAATAAAAAAGAGACCAATGAACCAAATTTAACAACGCGCTACTATTTCCTGTCGATCTGACCGTATCGCCTACTTTTGACTCTTCGTACATACAACTATTGTTCGCTTCTCGCTTCTAATACCTGGCCGTCTAATACTAGAATGGTCAATAGGCTTAATGCGCCAACATCGTTTTAATCCGTTGTTGCCACATTGTAGCCAAACAGCGTTGCCGCGTATGCTCTCTAACAATTGCAATGACAAACACACGAAGACTTCGTTACCCTGCTGAAGACTTCCATGAAGAGGTACTGTTTATTTGCTTGTTGTTCCGTTCCCCTTGCACCTGTCGCTAAGCCTCGCGATTTAAAACGATTCAGCGAATTTGAAGCGTTAAAAGTCGACCGCTTAACTGGCTATTCGCCCCCCAGACACACTACGTTCAAGTAAGTACATACTATAGAAAAGAATTTTAAAATGATTAAAAATCGTATCTTCAGTTGCACGCACAAACTTTTTGAACTTCAACATTGTCGACGTCGACGTCGACCTTGGTATTGACGCATGTTTGTATGCGTTAATGAGACGTTTCCACCCCACACTTCCCCATTTCTTTCGTTACTACCGTCGAAGTATACTAGCGAGATGATGCTGTTGATCGAGGGACGAAACCGTTACGGCAACTGTGGCCTGAGCCTTGGCCATCTGTTGCTGCTGATGTTGTTGCTGTTCGAGTGAGTGGCGCAAGCTAATATGAGTGTCCATGTTGTACTTGAGCGAGGATCGGTGCTCGCAAAATGGGCATGCAAACGGCCGCTCCTGGGTATGGATGAGCATATGACGCCGGACATGAGCCGCTTTTGATAGCCGCTTAAAACACACTGGGCATGTTCGGTCGTCCAATTGTTGACTGGCGTTTAATGAAGTTGACAATGGTGCTATCGAGGCGAGTCCGCCGCCGCCGCCGCCGCCGCCGCCGCCGCCGCCACCGCCGCCGCCGCCGCCGCCGCCACCGCCCGGAGCCGAGTCGCTGTATGTGGGTGGCAGAGGTCCCAAATCGAACGACTGATTTGGCCAGACGTCAACATCAATGCAAACGCCACTGTTTCCACCTGAAGTAGACGCCAAGAGGGCGAAAAAAATATACTTTAGTACACGAACGCAAGCCAGCGGAACACAATTATATATAGATGAGCAAATGAAAGTCGACTGACTATGCGAACAGTAAAGTGGAGCACTATAACTATACCACGCAAAATGGTTATTGATTAGGATTCCGCTTTTTCCCTCTAGCTCTCTCTCTCTCTCTCTCTCTCTCTCTTATACACGCTCACACACGCACACGCACGCACACACACACACACACAGGAGTCGATTTATTTTGGCCAAAATCGAGATCCTGGACGAATGAACATTCTATTTCCAAAACACGAACACACGCTGCTTTAGAGCAAGGCTCCAGAAGCGTTCCGAATACGCGACGAGTCTAGGCTGAATATGGCCTGACCTGAAACCCGTGCGCAGGTGGGCCTAACCGGCCGAACAGCGCAATAGCACCACTGAAAGAAAAATGTTGGCGTTAGAAGACGGAGAAGCAGCTCAGTCTATGTATATGCGATAACTGCGTATGTTTACTTTCACACCGTAGTTCACAATATGAATCAGTATATAGCCCTCTTAATTACATATAATGAACAAATGACTTCTATTTTTATTATTTATCGTGCACAATCAAGTTAAAATACTCCGCTTTGCCACGTTATCTAGCCAACATACGTCAATTTTTAGTATTTTTGATTTGTTAATTTTTCCAACATTTATAACAAATGAAATTTCCAGCAAATTGTCGTATTTTAGCAAAAGCAATGCTAAATAAAACCATACCCAGAGGTATAAGAACCGATTTCTAAGTGCTTTGACGAGAAACACTTGCTTACTTTGCAAGCTCCATATGTACAGATATAGGATACGAAAGAGTTCCTTAACCCTAATAATTGAATATAATAATTGAAAAATACGAATAATAATTGGCTTACCTAAGCCAAAAAGTCTTCCCCTATTATATACCTCTCTAATTGAAGATGTTAGATACAATGGCGTGAGCTCCCTCGTCGTTCTCATTACAGAATATTTACATTAGCCTACATGACTTTTCCTCCTTAGTACCGCAGTATCATCTCAACCGCTTTACATAATGGGAACATCGTGTCATTTTTTTCCGTAATATCAAGTGTTTTTTTTTTCAACATGGTTGGCTGGCAAATTTCGTGTGTCCAGTTTTCTCAAAATGGCCACGATCCAGCATCAAGCCAAATATGACAGGATATAGTACTTTATCTGTCGTAGATACAGCTGGCGGTCCTGCAGTGTTGCACAGCTTCCTATCGTAACTGCGTTTATTTGCAGTCACGTCATTGTTCATGTTTGTACACGTATGTATGTTCCTATGTACTATATGGTTGTGCTTTTAGAAGAATACATATCGAACAATTTGCCTTGACGGATAGAATTTGTAGAAAAAATTGATGCTTTCTTTATTAGGATTTATCGATGTTGACACAATTGTCCTAGTGTCATCCGATGTAAAGCTTCTCTAATCGGACGATTGATAAAAACTACCGAGATTTTTAGGAAGTGATATTGACTATGCACGTGTTGTTCCAAATTGCCGTTTTGAGACGCCTCGTAGCTGCTGTTATAGGACCACTCGCGGGTGTGTATCCTCATATGCTGAATCGGGCCGATCCTATTAGGAAAAATGTTCGAACAGAGAGGATAAATTTTGTTGGATACTTTAGATCGTCGATTGCTAACATCAGTGGAGCCATTCTTTTGGTCAATTGGAGGGTCAACAGGTTTAGCTGGAAGTTCATCGTTAGCTGGTTCCCGCGTCACTGGATTCGTGTTCTTTGTTACCTGTTACTCGTGTTTGTTACCTTGAGGACACCATTATCACAACAATAACGTTCGCTACTCTGGGATTGGGTATGTCCTGTTTGCACAGCGCCGACGACGACAGCAAGTCTACTTCCTGAGTGTGATTTGCCGCTGGCCAGGACCAAGTTAAATCCGTTGATCCTACTGTAATGAAATTATCACAACGTTAAAACCGCAATGAAAATAAGGGAAACACTTAGCCGTTTCATTTTGATTCATATGAGTATCGGCAGACATTTCCCTGTTCATCTCAGTGTTCGTGCTAAGGAAGGAAAAGTGCATTTCGTCTGAAGTGGATTTTTCTTCTTGACTGGGTAACGTAAAAACATGTTAAGTTGATACGGGATGATACTTGGACCAGCTATGACTTCTTACAATAGACATTTTGAACGATGTGATCGTTGTTTCTAATGGCTGCCTGAATAAGAGTCATGAACTCTGTTCGGGCAGGTCGCTTTCAGCAGAGACATCGCAGCGAACGTCCGTCGGCTAGGACATGTTAATTAATGCTCCTATTGAATGCCTGAAAGAACATGTTAGTGATAAGACCCGATCTTCCTCTTTATGATATAAAGATATACAGTCATCTGTTGAAGACAGTTCTTTGTACTTATTTGAAACAACTGCTGCAAAACAACACCGAAAACGGATAATAAATAAAGGTAAGTTTGCTATATGAAGCTCGTCATCTTTCGCTCTGATTTGCACCCTGGTATATTTTAACGCACGATAAATAGATATGCGGAAGACAATGATGACAATCTCAGTCTTTGTTTACTATACGTTGCACATAGATATATAATTTATTTTTTTTTTTTGGATTTTATACACAATTTTGCCTGCTACACGTTACTCACGTTTACTACCCGAAAAACAAAGATAATAGTGCGATCAAAGCCGTATTATAATCGATACCTTAACTAATAGATAGCAATATAGTACATGAAAATGGATAAAAAGCTCTTAGCGTACTGCAATCACATCGCAATGCTAAATAATGCCTCCAAACCCTGTCTGCCACCGAAAGCAAGCAATCGCTTAATATCTCGTTCTCTCATGTTCCCACGACGTCTGGTCCTTCATTCCGCCCTGCACCGCCGTTTGACCTATCGAAGCACTTTGTATGCGTCGAGTACTCAGGAAATTACTTTTGAAAAGGCTAGATGAGTTACAACAAACAAACATCGGCGGCAAAAATGAACATTTATAGAACTACCATTGAAAATTGATATTTTTGAGTTTACCGTGCAGCGAAGGCTTATCCATGCTGATAAAAGGCCACTCCTTAACGAATATTCGTTGACAAAATTTAGTTTTTTAAGGCAATGAAGGGTAGGCTCAAGTAATCCAAAATTGTCTTTAGTTTGTCGCCCGTCTCCGCGATGCATTTAACGAAATGGTGTTCACTTAGAGTGCTCATATTTATTAATATATTTACCATATTGACTAGTAACGTTCTCCTAATTCTGGGTAAAAAAAAACGTCCCTAACCTATGGTTTGCCATCGTTACGAATATCATCCCTACGGATCATGTTAATTTTTAGTCCCGATTTTTTTGTTAACGTATCATTATTCTGGTCGTTGCACATTTGAGCTCTCGCACAGATGAGTAAGATGGGACTCGAAACTCATTTACGATCCATTGTAACAACTGGCCTGTTTGTCAAATAGATATTTACCAACTCAATTTCTCAGGCTGGATAATACCACAAAGCGTCCTATTATACATGTAGCAGGTTCAAGGGCATATAATCAATATCTTCTGCTGTTTATAAATTAACACAACCGTATGTGGAAATTCGGATTAAGAATGCTACTGTTTCGTTGTGTCTCCGTGATTTTTTGATGGTTGAAGGGGTTACACCGAAGATCTATTTATTGATACATTTTTTCCACCTTCCAGAACGACATATGGTAAGTTAGAAAGTGACGCACAAGTTTCAGTTGGTGAAAGCTAGTACGTGAAAGAATAATCCGTATAACTATACGAGTACACACTTATCGCAACTTTTCATGTAGTGTATCCAGGCTTTCTTAGCGGTACGCTGGCAATTAACTTTAACCAGATACGCGCGAGATTTGAATTTGTTTGCAAGTCATCGATCTGATCACTATTCTTGTTGCTTTCTAGCTAATAATTTGCCCTTCTTTTTATCCGAAATCTTGAATGCTTCATGTTTAGCATCCGTTTTAATTCATCTAGACGCGTCAGTCTTTTAAGTGTTTATCTCAAACATTCCGAACCTTCTTAGCCACATGATTAAATACCGAGTTAGGCCGCTCCTTTTAAACGTGTAGAATTATATGACCGTTATTTTTATTAAGATGTTAGGCTTATTGAAGGGCGACACGCATGCGCTCTTCATCCTCCATCGCCTCCATAAGCCAAGTAACTTCGTTGCTGTTTGGGTTGACTTTGTGAACATTGCGCATATGCCGACAGAGATGGTCAGATCGAAGGAACGTCTTATCGCACACACTGCAGCCATATGGTCGTTCGTTGGTATGACCACGCATATGAACCCGAAGATGCCATGTTGTCGAAAAATCTTTGCCGCAGATCGAGCACGCGGGTCGATCACCTAAAGCAGTAGCGAAACCAAACAAATGCGTGCATGGATTTGAAACAGAATCATTGGATGAAAAATCATTAGTATACATTATTACCTTAAACTAATTATAAACGCATAACTGCCTACACGTTTATATTACTGAGACTTCTAACGACGACCGATTAAAAGATCTATTAAGCCAATAGCATCTGTGGATTATATACCTGAGCTCGTACTCGTCGATGGGGTCGTTGTTCCGCTTGTGGCTACGAGGCTGTTGTTAGCTTTGGTAAATGCCTCGAGAGCGCCAGTTAATGAAACGACAAGGGGGATCACAGTACCGCTAGTTGTAGTATTGTCACCTTGAAGTTGCATCGTCATTAAGTTTCCCACAGGAATAACGAAGAGAGTGAGAGATGCGCATGAGACTTTCAAGAGACGGTATGTGAATAGCATCTTTCAATCGTATTGTCAGATCGATCATAATGGCTTAATGTTACAGAAATGATAAAAACCTTCACCCTTCGAGAAGCTGATCTGATTGCGGAAAGCCATCAGCAGGAAGGTGACCAGCTCAGCAAGCTAGGCTTGAGTCTAAACGGTATCTGAGAGTTGAATGCTAGCCGTATGACAGACTGCATTAGGACCGGAAGATCTAGTCCTAAGGACTATCATTGCTAAGGCAAATACGTTTAAGACAAGCCAGTGTCGAAATGAAAAACCGCAAAGGACAGTAAGTATGCGCATTTATTACTTCATCAATTCGTTCGTAGAACTAAGTTAGATGAAACAGGTCACCCGCTCATAGCCTAGCTATATAATACCGATTGACGTACCAGCCGTATTTCCTCGACTGGGCATCGTCTCACCACCTCAGCGACTCGAGTCGAGTTGTTTAGTCTGAAATAAAAAATCGCAATTAGTTGAGCCCGAATTAGGTTTGAATTGAAAATAAAGTAAACCATATATATAATTTACATAGTATACCAATATCGATAACTATTGTGAAAATGTTCGCTCAAAAACATTTTGGTATTGCGGGCAAAACAGATTCACGTTTGTCCAGGTGTCACTAGCTTATCTCAACTTGTAATTACTTAATTAGGATATTACACTTAATTAAGGGCAGGAGTATTATTCCGTATAAAAATAGCGACTTTATTCTTTAGTCTTCATGTCTGTCGCATGTCGTTCCTGTGTTTCAGTTTACAACGATGATCACTGTGGTTACCATCCCTTATCCTTACGAGGATATTTTTTAATAACTATCCTAACAAGTGATAAACTGGCCTTTTGTCTGGAGAAAGGGCAGTTTCCATTATCTACTACTACTACTACTTGTTTCCCTTTTGGCACTCAACATTTATCTGGCGGTGGTGATAATTGATGGTCTGATACTCATTGACCCAAATGTATGTCTGAAGTGTTGATAGAAATTGCTATATGGCACCTCATGAAGCCAGGCTATTTGACAGATCTGCAATAATACTAGGGTAACAATGAGCTCCAACGCAAACGATTGAGTGTGACAACCTAAGAGGCGGACAATTCCCTTTGATTGGTGATGATTCTCTTACCAACAACATCAGATATCGAGCTTAGTATAATTAGGGGACGAACTCGGTCTTTTGCTTCCGACGAAATGATCATTAAAATGTCCATTAACTATTTTAGCTACCAACAGCGGATTAGTGCTCGTATTATAAACGAATATTATCTGTTCTATTTACACTATCTCTCTATAAAACGATTGCAACCCATTAATCTTAGGATATATGCAAATAGCTGCCATTTCAACGGGGTATTTTGTCCCTATACCTATATGGGGTATTATTATCCACTATAGCTAGAGCGAATTTAGATCTGTACAGAGCTAAAGAGGCCGCTGTAGACGAATTCTCCACCCATAGAACTTCCGCAAACATTACTGCTCACAAAACAGGACCCTTCATCCCGCACTCAGCCAGATTTCTACCCGTTACGAGGCTCGAGCGTAGCTGGAAATCGTTTTCAGACACTAGATGTATGGATTCATGCATAATATTGTATCAGGATCATAGCAGCATGGACGTTTCAACAGGTACGTATACATGGCAGCGTAATTGATCTAATTAAAATAGTTGTGGTACTCTACCTAAAAATGGTACCTAAAAAAGAAGCGGAAATGGGGCGTCTACATGATACTGTTTTTATCACTAGGTAAATCACTACCGAGTCGACGTACTTCGTCGTAAGAAATAATCTTTGTTCACGATTTAACCTTTCTTCAACGAAAACAAGCATAGCAAATGTACAAATTAATTTTATATTTCAAAAATCCAGTAATTTGAATTCTGTCGAATATGACAGGAGGCTGTAGTTTTACCCTGGACAAAATGAAATCATTAGACATTATATCCGTTTCGTTAATTAGTCAACGCCTCTTCCGCGACTGGAACAGGCCATAAATGGTAATTCGCTGTAAAAACCACCCTCCAGCATCGTGCGGCGCGCCCCTTTGCGAGAGAAAAGAATGCAATTGCAAATAGCTCATAGGATAACCATAGTAACATTGTTCTACGTGCTATAAACGCGTTTGTCATATAGGAACTATCTGTATAGGTAATCTATGATTGATTGATTGATTGATTGAGATCATGTCAACTTTTCGTCGTACGAATGACTGAGCGCATCCTCGACGCTGGCGACGACAAGGGCTGGAAAGATCATTTCGTGCGGTTTTTTTTTGCAAAACCTGGAAACATCATTATACCTTCAACAAAAATAAGCTCAGTCAATAAAAATTTCCAGGGCTCCAAGGTCGCGCGGTCTTCTATTTTTAAACAATGCCAACGGGTGACCACTTTATCATCGTGCTTACACCTCTTTTTTTTCCTCTCTATTTTAATTTAAACAAATCCAATAGTGACGTATTGTTCGCATGTACATTTGTTTACCACTTTCGAACTGGCACGCTGTAGATTGTAGTAACAAAAACGTGAGGTAAAGCCTTCCTACAAACCAGTGGCACGCGCGTAATGGAGCCTTTCTATTACAGTAGGTTGCGTATTTCATCTCTAAGCGTGGCTTGATCTCTGCGCATCAATCTAGCCGTTGATGGATTAGACGTCAGCACTATAAAATCTAGTCTAGATTGGTTCAGCTTTGATTTGCTACCTAGATACTGTACAGTGCATTTATAGGTATACGCTCATCGGAGTAGTCACGCTTAATAAAGGAAAAGTATACACGCTATGAACATACATGTTATGGCATCTATACATCGCCAATATCTCACTCATCATACATGTCTACGAATAGAGAGCCCCCGCTCCCCCATCAAACCACTGAGTCGATTTGATTGTTAATCTCCTTAAAGGCCACACAGCAGACACGAATTGCTATGGTGTCTCGCTAGGCGTTTGCCGTACACGGTCCAGTTCTACATAGACAAAATTAACACGCTGCCTTATATTTGAAAGGGGGAATATGTCGAGCATCTCTTACGTTATGGGGGCCGTTGACTGATTTTCTAGGTTCGAAAAATTTCTGTTGAACAGATCAGCTTTCCAGTTGCGAATCCTGGAGAAAATTATCCCATTACCATCGTGATTCGAAGCTCGCCTTCACGCGTAAAAAGCGAAGCTGGTTATTATAAAGTAATTCATCAACCGCTATAGTGTTTGGCGCAGTGAATGGTTTTGTGCTCGCGAGATCTCCGACATCTTTTCAACAATCTCATAGTTCCTGCGCCGAGGTAACAGCTAGTCCAGGCTTTTCCCCATTCCTGGATTAGCTTCAAAGAATTCGAGATCTTCCGCCTCACGAATCGTGGACGATCGCCGTCCTGCCCTTGATCCATTTCAAAATATTAGACATTAATGGCAATCAGGGAGATACAAAATCAGTGGACTATTAGGGTATGCTTAATATGCTGCAGGATATATGTGGCTATGTAACATTTGTACTTTCCCAATACATATATACGTTGGACAAAATGTTTCCAGTAGGCATCAATCATTTATCAAAATACGATCATCATCGTCATTATGCTTGTCTTCATTTTAGTTGAAAGGAACTAGCGAGGGTCTCTTATTCTGCATGTACTTATGGTGAATGCCTTCAATGTGTTTCTTCAAGGCGCCGAGCTGTGTGGCACGATAGTCGCAGAACTGACATGCATAGGGTCGTTCACCCGTATGACTACGCATGTGGATCCTGTACGAAAACAGCAAAAATCGATCGAGCTTTTAAAAATCGTGTCTTACAAGTGTGCTGTTCTACTTGACGCTTCGGCCATTAGTCCTCGTAACAGCCGCGTTTTCTTCTAGAGCAATATTGATATTTGTAGCAAATTCAATCGTAAATAGTACAACTCAAAAGGCGCTATCCTTAGCATACTATCCTGCAAGAATGTAATCTAATTTCGTAGCTTTTACATTGATTTTGGAAAAAATGTAACTCCTCAGAAGCAATAGTCCTTCAGCACGTGAGTGAATTGCAAGTATAAAATTTTCTGTTGTCGTAATTCCTTACCTCAGATGACTGGGTGACTGAAACTGCTTTCCACATACTTCACAATGGTGACGACGCGGATTTAGTTGGCCATTCAGTATGAAGCCAGCGAGACACGATGTACCAGCGCTGCTAGCGTTGTTCTGAGAAGCAGAGGAACTTTGGACGGAGCAGGTCGACAATGCAGTTGCGGCAGGTGACGGGGGAAGTGAAAGGACAATGTTGCTGGAAGCTGCAGCAACGACAGCGGCTTGTTGAAGGCCCTGAAGCGTCTCCAAAGCTTGAACAGCCTCGGGACTAGGCCCGGCATTGACCGATCCCCCAGGACCACCAGCAACACTTGTCTGAGACAAACCCAACTTCGCTAGAAGGTTCGGAGGAAGCGGAAAATTTCCCGACGCTGCGGCGGACGCTAGAAACATTGACAGACATAAATCACAACAACGAACAAACATACGCAACAAAGCGACATTGCTACCCGCGTCAGCATTTGAGAATTACATATAGTCCTCTATGAACGAGAAACACGGAAGAAAGCGTTTCCGCGCATGCAAAATATAGTCTTTGTAGTTTAATTATGTTCTTTTTATTGGCGGTTTGCTGAATGTACCGTTACAGTTTGCATGCCTAACGTTTAACTGGTGTGGATACCATGAGTAGGGCTGCGAAGAAGAGATAGGTAGTCATTGTCTATACTGACTAGTTGTTGAAAAGGGTTACAGTCGGACAAAAAGATTCACGTCTAAAAAAAGGTCGAACGCTTTTGTATATCATGGCCTGGATAGAAGATAGAGCATTGCAAACGACACTCAGCGTTCGAAGTAACGGCTGCAGTCTTAATCTTAGATGCTAAAATGAAAATATTTAGCTGAGGTGACCATCATACTAGAGGGAACTCTCTGTCTAGTAATACTATTTAGACATTAGTTCATGTATTTCAAGTCAAAGGAAGCGACAATTTCAAATCAACCAAATGCGTTACATTGGATAAACCCCATGCAGTCTCTGCATGAAGCACATCCCAATCTTTCAAGTGTTAGCCCCTTCTAGCAAAAACATCAGTGGGCAAATTCTGTAGATAATTTTATTCCGCACACAATATAGTAATGTACATATTCAGTTCTGAGGTTTGAAGAAAAGGTCAGCCAGTCGGTCTTCTTCATTCCATAGCGTAGATTCAATATTTGTTTTGGCAAACAAACGAATCGGCAATCCAGCCATGTAAACAGAAATCGTGTTCTGTTGACGACAGCAGAGTATCTGTAATGTAAACATGTTTTATTAGTAACATATACATGTTTTGTATGTTTTATTATCGAATGTATGCTTGCTATTGAATGACTGTTGTCGTCATAGAAACTTGTGTTTTATATTTCGTAATAGTTTAACGATCGCACCACACACGACACAAACACAAGCAAAAAAAGTAGATGTTTATAAGCAAGAACTAGTACAGACTTAAGATCATTATCATTCGCCACCATTTTAAAATACTACGTCTACCAAAGAAAAACACTAAGGCGGAGCAGACCGAATAACACATACATTTCTTATTTATTACTATATA